CCCCCCCCCCCCCCCCCCCCCGAGAGATACTGTTCAGATATTCAGGGAAAGAAAACACAAGTAGGGTTTCCTTCAGCTTATTGGTCTGCCTACGAGCCCTCTGCTGATGCTCTTCAAGCGCCTGGCTACTTGGTATCAAACGCTTCAACATCAAATACTTCAAACCGCTTGACGAGGGATCGCCGACTCTACTGAACAACAAACGTCTCCCGACACACACGACACAGCCGAGGCAACGGCTACTCGAGCTAATCAATGTGAGTAACTACCTAACAGCCACCTGAAGCATCCTCTTTTAAACAACAAAACTAATCTCAGAAAGCAAGAACATAAAATAAATGGCCACCATTGGGGAGGGGGGGCGGGGGGGGGGAGTAGTGGTCTTTAAACTTCTACAGGGCTTAATTAACAAAAATGTCAACAGCCTACGGCGACACTGGGAAAAAAGGAGAAGCCGGGATGGAAGCCTTTAAGACAATACTGGATAATCAGGCATCCTTTTATAACACATATATATAACACTTGTTTCCCCAAGGGGAGTATTGGGTGGGGGGGGGGTGTGGGGGGGTATTTCAATCTGTGTGACCATGGCTAACAGAGTGTACACCCCCCCCTCACACTGCAAGTCGCAGAAGAAGGCACTAGAGTGGGGCTGTTGCTAGCCGTAGAAAAGTAAAAGCGATTTACATTCATAGCTCACAGGTTTTCTTAACCGCAGTCTGGGAATAAATACACAAAATGCACTTGTAGAAAAATAAAATGTAAAAAAAGCGTGGCCCCTATTTTTTTTTTTTTTTTCCTTATTTTTGGATTCTGGGAGACAAGTATGGCTACTTTTTCACGGATTTTTAAACCACTTAGAAGGCAATTCAGGAGTGATCCTCCACTGCTCTGGCCGCGAGCAGTCGAGCCCTTTCATGCACGCCAATATGAGAATAAGGGAGGAGGAGGGATGGAGTGAGAGGGGTAGGGGGCTGTTGGTAGGAGGTCAGGGCTCAGCTTTCAGTGCGAGGAAGTAGAGGGGGAAACTCAATGTTCAGACAACAGAGAAACCTCATCCAACACAGAGTCTCTCTCACACACACACACACACACACACACACACACACACAGCACAGTCTCAGCGTCTTCATGTACAGCTGTCCACGGCAAGTATGGTCCGAGGCTTTAAGTGCAAGGACCTGGGAGACAAACATGCACGAATTTAGGTTCCTTTTACTTTAACCCCCTTCTATTTAGCAGTTATAAGCACTGTCCATATTTAAAAAGGGGTTTATAGCACAATGTAATGTAGTTATAAGCACGTATAAGGACATTTTAAGTGTTTATTAAGGTAGAACAATGCTTATGTTTGTTTTTTACTTAATTGTCTTTCATTATCAGTTTCTAAACCAAGCTCAACGTAGGAGGAGGTTGGTAGTATACTTACTTACATTTGCTTACCACTACATTATAGTGTGTTGTGTAAACCATTTATCAGTGTTTATATACTGCTTATGAATAGGGAGAGTTAAAGTAAATTATTACCTGAATCGGTATTTGTTTGTTGTGTGTGCGTGAAGGAGGGAAACCAGCTGTCGTTTGTGCTCGAGCTTCACGCACAAAGAGAAGTCGGTACCCACAAAGATAACATCTCTTGAAACTCAGCAGCACACACACACACACACACACACACACACACACACACACACACACACATCAAAGAGTATGTCGGGAGAGAAATGAGCTCCAGCTGACAACAGGGGGAAGGGGACTGAAGTGTTCTGCAGAGTAAGGAGTGTTCGTGTGAAGGGGGGAGGAAGAGGAGGGGGGGAGTATTAGGTTTGCAAAGGAAGGAGTGCAGGAGGGTGAAGGAGGGGGTGTGGGGTGCATACCACAGCTCTGCACAGACTCAAAAAAAAAAAGAAAAAAAAAAAAAGACATGTGTAGTGAAAATCCTGACTGTAGACTGAGTTCAGCCACGCCGCTCCTCCTCCACCCTCCCCTCCACACCTCCTTCAGTTTTCCTCCCCAGTGTCACGTGAAGGCGGTGTGTCTTCATGTGTGCTTGTGTTTGTTCGTGTGATTCTGTTTGTGTGGTAGTTGTTCAATGGTTCAGTCAGGCCTGTGAAACAGCTGCGACACGATGTGGCTTCTCGTCCCCTACTTAAAAAAAAGGGGGGGGGGAGACACGGTGGCGAGTCTACCTCCGCCGACGCAATCCACAGGCCGGGCTCCCCGCGCCGGTGTCCACTTCCTGTCACGTGGCCGTCGCCTCCAGGTAGCTCTGTAGTTTGCGGACGGTGGACTCGTCCAGTGAAAAGAGGTCAAAGTCAAAGGTGGTGTTGGTCACGTTGAAGTGGCCCGTCTCCTCAATCAGGTTCACAATCTGAGAGAGGAGTGATCAATTATCATTAAGCATAATCAGGTTGTCCTTCAGGTCACATTAACAACATACTAAAAGATGCGTACATGGTTCAACAAGTCAAAGTATCACCATTTAAATAACACACCCAATGCAATTTAATATTTGTTTTCACAAATATGAAAGAAAACCAGCAGGCCAGATAAAGCCTAGAATTATTACACACAGAAACATTTCTTTATCTTTTCTTCCAAAGAAAACTGAAATTCAAAAAGTAGTAGCAAATGTTTTTAAGGTTGTTCCTCCACATCTCCACTCACAGTAAAGACCTTCCACACCAACGACATGGGGGGTGTGTGTGTGTGTGTGTGTGTGTGCGGCTGTACTGTGTACCGCAGCTGCCACAGTGTGCGCGACATGCATGTTGTGTGTGAGACTGAACGGATTAAAAAAAGATCAGTTTTCAGGAGTTCAGACGATGAGCCTCCTAACGATCAGTAGTGATGGTGTTTGCGTCGGGTCTGATACAGCCTGCTAATTACACAATCCACTGTCGCAACAAGTATGACGAAGTGACATCTGGATATTACTGCCGCCTAACATTACTAAAATGACCACCTACCTATTTAAAATAAAATACAGTTACGGTGCTTCAGATCACATTATTCATGGCGAAACTTAATATATATAAAGACTTTTAAAAAGTGCAAGTCATTGGTTTTTCTATGTATGCATCAAATTCTTTCAGTGGTTTTATATTCATATCAAATTGATGAAATAGTTGGTGCCATTACATTTTCCAGTAAGTAATAATCATTCTGATAGACATAGTGCCATATATATCATATTTCATTGTGTGACAGTAACAATGAACACGCACCTGCTGTAGGACGTTACGCTCCCTTAAAGCCATCAGTCTGCGATGGAGGTCCACCAGTTCTTCTGTGTACGCCTGCAGAGGTTACAGAGAACATGGTCAGTATAGCATTACGTTTGAACTGAAATCTATATGAACATGGGGAAAATGTATCTGCCTGACCCATTGCATGTCCTAATAAATTAGATTACTACTTTCTTTGTGTCATTATTTATCATATCACTATGTACTTAGAATTTGGTGTATTGGTTTACTGTTAATTTTATTGTTTTCTTTCTTTATTATTTGTTTTCATAAAGATCATCCGATCTAATCTAAATCGAACCTGATCTCTTTGCTGACCAGATAATCAGGACAACAAAACATAGGAGTTAAGTGTGAAATTATTATTTTGGATTCGAACTCATCAAAATTTGAGGATAAAGGCAAAACTGTTTGCTGGTTTTCTAAAACGCTACTGCCTGACCATAATCTTAGCTTAACAGGGGGTGTTTACTCAATGTTATGAAGTAGACCTCTTCCTTTGAATTTAAATCTCTGTGGGAATTAACCTTTTTTTTCTCCATACGTTTTAATGTGGCGCAGTTATTTAGGATCAGTCACTTAATGAATCATCTCGTTACACTGAAGAAAAAAAGAGATTTCTTTTCAAGGGTTCATAGGCCAGAGTCTGTCTGCACATCTGGATCAATTCACTGTCCATGACTCCATCTTGAATTCATCAATGCACTCATTGAATTTGGACAAAACACTGTCTGTGTGTGTGTGTGTGTGTGTGTGTGTGTGTGTGTGTATGTGAGGAAAAGCATAAACAAAAAAAAGTTTGATTTACCCTTCCTACCTTGTCGTATCCCTTCTTCAACACCTTCTCTGAGCGAAACGAGGAATCTGGACTCTTTCTGCCTGAAACCTGCAGAAAAGGAGAGCAAGGAAAAAGGAAAGGAGGAAGACAAAGAGGAGAGACAGGCAGTGATGTGAGACCATGAGACTATCTGGGACACTGACGACTGAAATGATATGTAAGAGGTCTGTCTGTCTGTCTGTCTGTCTGCTGAATGTGTTTCTGCTTTTTATGTTGGGCAGGATCCAAGACAAAAATGCATTAAAATTTCTATTAAAAATAGAAAATTAAAATGGAGTGTTCTCTCCGTCTTTGACGGCTTTACTTTTAATCGAAACACACAAAATACATTTCTTGAGTAAATTTGACTCACAAAACCACAAACATACACAACGTAATGCTTTAGGAAAGTCCTGTTCATGTTGGCCGAGGATTATGTTGACAGCTGGACACTGAAGAATACTGGACGAAGACAAACTCAGTAGTATTGTTAAGAATAAATAAAACTGTACATGTTCGGTTTTAGCGTTTATTTTCTGGTCAAACTATTTCCGTCCCCGTCAATACATCGATAAAAGCAGGCAGTAAAGCGAGGTCTGTGTGACTCACTTTGTTATTGGAGGAGCTGTGTTTCTGCGGAGGCGGGGCGGGGTCTCGACTGAGACTGTGCGAGCCGTCACTGCTGTCACTCTCGCTGTCCAGGCTGAGTCTGACGGGGCGAGGTCAGAGGTCAATCACACATCGACTGACAGACGGATCACATTGGCATGCTGCTTAGCATTGGACTTGGATGCGTGCGTCCCAGATTATAATAATTATTATTTGCTGCCAACATTAAGTCTGATATAATTTAGTGAAGAAGACGCAACAGATTAACAACAGACACATCATTTAAAAACCAACAGGAGTAAACAATATTGAGAAGAGACAAAAAACAGGTGCGGTAGGGACAGAACAAACATCTAACATAATAATAGATCTAATACAATCTGCGTCAGTCTGCACGGTATCGATTGTGAGTAACGTCAGATTGTGTGATAAAGCCAGTTGAACTGTTGCAAATACAGATGCAAGCAGAAAGTTATGATCATTTTTAATTTAATAATAAGTGGAAACGCAAGAAATTTGAGAGACAAAAAGTTTGAATATCACAAAAACATAAGGTGGAGAATGTATGCATCAACAAAAGCTAAACGCAATAGTCATGACCTACAAGAAGCATGTGGCCTAAACACTGAAAAGTTGCATCAGATGAAAACATTAGCTCTGTAGAGAGCGATGGAGAGGCTGTATGACCCTCAACTTAATATGTAAAACAAACATAAATGTCATATATTCATCAGGCTTTTCACATCCTTTTCAGACGTTTCAGGGTCGGTGCTCTTTTAATGACGTAATCTGATTACGTCTCCTTCTTCTGCATGCTGCTGGAGAATTAGTGCCACCAGATGTTTTGAGATGCTACCAACTTAGTCGTGGATGGAAAATACAATGCTAATTGCTTTAGCTGATTTTTGCTCGAGAAATGTCACAAACTAGTGCGCCGGTCTTGTGTTTTTGAAAATGTAGAAAAACAATAAACACGACAGTTACGCTGCCACTTCTATGAATCAAAAATTCAAAAGTAAAGAGAAGAGTGTCGACTCCGTCGCAGGCAGGGGAGATAGTGCAACATGCAAAGTGTGTTTGAGGTAAATGTGTGTTTAAGCAGGAGCAGGGTTGAACTTGTCTCACAATGCGATGAAGCACTGTTTTTGATTGACGACCAAACATGTAAAGAGGCCTTCAGGGAGACTGACCGAGAGTCGCGGTTGGGGGGGTTAGTCTTGATGGGCGTCTCCTCCTCCGAGCTGCTGTCGTCATCATCCGACTCCTCTGACTGGATCTCCTCCACCATCGATCGAAGGGGGCCTGGAAGAGGAGGACAGAATCACACGAACTCTAAGACCACATCAACCCGTTAACTCCAGAAAACCCTTTAACATTAATGCTCATCTCTGCGGCGTAACAAGGTGAATGGACTCTCTACCTTGCCCTTGTTTCTGATCCGGCTCAAAGTCAGAATCTGAACTGGAGTCAGAGCTAGAACTGGAGTTGGAAGGACTGGAAGGGGCGGACTGCTGTAAGAGAGAAGAAGAAGAAGATAATGACGAGAAGGAAAACAACGAATGAAAGAAATGGGACAAAAAGGAGAAATGGTTCGATAAGACCCGAGTTCAGGATCAGCATGATTATTGTGTTGTTCTTTACGGACTCGATTTTTGGGAAACCTCAACAACATTCAAGATCAAAGATTATGGATTTAAATGAGACCCAATCTCAAAATACTTTCAAGTCTTTTATGAATTAAGTCGTGTTAAGATAATAAATTAGCATAGATGGAAACTGGAGCTGAAATAATTAGTTGAATAATTAATTAATCAACTGACAGACTTTACCAGCAGATATTTTAATACAAGAGCAAAATAATACATTTAGGTTTCTCATTCGTGAGGGTTTGCAGCTTTCCTTCGTCTTATGTGATGGTACATGGTACATTGGGCTTTCAGAAATTGCAACAGACATTTCACTATTTTCTGACCGATTAAACAAGAATATAATCTGCAGATTGAGCGATACTAATCTCAAATTGCAGCCCTAAATTTGAAATATAATGAATGATCCTAATGAATGTCATCATACAATCCTTTCCTAACAGCACTCCTGGGGAACCGACGTACCTCTGACTTGGACGACGCTTCATCCTCTGAATTCGATTCTTCCGACTCTGGAACTTTCTTGGGCTCCTTTGGCTCTTGCGTGTCATTTTTGCCTTTGGCCCAGCGACCTTTTTCCTTAGGAGGCTTCTTCTCTGCGTACGGTTGGCTGGCTGCAGACGAGGAGGAGACACGAGGAGAAGTCCCTGTGAAGGCCCCGCCACTCGGCCCCTTGGGCCCCTCTGAGCTGCCCTTCTTCTGCTTCTTAGCGCTTGGTTTGGGAGACTCGACAGTAGAGGGTCGTTTCCCTGGGACTTTAGGTTCTGCAGGTGCTCCCACGCCTGCCACACCTGCCACAACACCACCACCCACTCCACCCCCAGCCCCCCCACCACCCCCTCCACCCCCTCCACTCCCAGCCCCCCCTCCTTTCGGGGACATGCCCTCCATCTTTGACTCCTTCAGGGTGAGTTTAGGCTCCTTGAAGGCAGCCTTGGGTAGGACCTTAACTTCATCTTTCACTTTGATCTCCGACGGCTTTTTTGAAGAAGAGGAAGAGGAAGGATCGCGTCCACTCTTGCTGCTTCCGTCTCTGTCGTTGTCTCCTTTCGATGTGGCTTTGCTCTCAGAGTCTTTTCGGGGCCGTTCACGGTGCTCCTTGGTCAGTTTGTGCGGTTTGGGTCCTTTGCTGCTGCCACCACTTCCCTCTTTGCTGGGTTCCTGGAGAGAGAAACCAAAAGCACCGTCATCGACAATTTACTCTTAAAGCACTCAGCCAAAGGTCTCATAAAAGGAAACAGACTCGGCAGCACAAAGACCTTGTCAAGGTTTTGCCCGTCTAGTCCGTGCTGTAATCACATTATTTACTGTGAAGGAGATGTCAAACTAAGCACTTTGGTCAGTGTGAACTCTCAGTAACCAGTCTAAAATAAACAAATTAAACCTTCTTCTCTACACAATAACAAGACTACAGCTATGCTAGCAGCTCTCTGTCAGAATGTAGTGGTGCTTTGAGCTAAATGCTGAATTTATTAGTATGTTTATCATGTTCACCATATTTGCTTAGTGTGCTAGCATGCTAACATTTGCCAATTGGCACAAAACACAAAGTAAGCTGAGGCTGATGGGAATGTCATTCATTTTTGCTCATAAACCATCCAAATGTCAACCGTATGGTGGTGCTGAAGGCAAAGTCAGGGAATCCCCAAAGTCTGTAGAATTAATCCTTTGGGGCTTGAGACTGTCTGTACCAGATTTCATGGAAATCAATCTGACAGTTGTTTAGATATTTCTGTCTGGATAATGAAACAAACACTGTTGGTCTCTTAAAGCTTAATACCAAAACTGTGGCAACAATGTTAAATGTAACCGGATCAGTTTCCTGTTTTTTCCCCGATAGATGTCCCGTCTCGTGGGCAGATAAACTGTCCGAGTTATTCTGCATGCAGATGCTCAAAAAAAGCTGGCTGTGATTAAAAGCCTGAATCAGTGCGATCACAATGATTCTGCACATTAATTTAGACGTTTAGGGCTGGGCGGTATACCGGTTCACTGGTTTTAATTTCCCATACGATATCAATTTTTCTTATACTGTCATACCGGTGCACAGCCGAGGCAACTTCTGTCGCTCTTCAACAGGCAGTAAAATATATTGTTTGCCGCTGAGAGCGCTGCGGTCGGACCTAGTTGTCTTAACTGTATTGAGAGAGAACCCTAGTCATGGTCATAACTTTATAATAACAATTAACAACCCACAACTAATGCTCTTTAATAGGGCAAAACACCAAGACAACAATTTGTAACACTAATAATTGTACATTTATAAAATTTCCCCGCCGAACTGCATGCTGGGTACAGCTCGCTAACAACAGTCTGCTAACAGCTGGGAGAGGCTCTGTTGCTCCAGTAACGTTACATTAAAGAACAGAAAAGAGCGATGCAGGATGAACAAAGACTGAACAACAAAAGGTATTTAGGTCAGACACATATGCAACGCTGATTACCGTAATATGTGTGGTATTTGTTATAAATGAACGTTGGTACATAGAGTGATGAGAAGCTGTACATGGAGGGGCTTAGGACCCAGGGGAATGTAGGTGAAGGAAACAGGAAGTGACGGAACGGAAGTCACGCCACACAAACAGCTGTTCACCGCTCGCTGGCCGGTTGACCGGCAAGTTCTTTTCGGCGTTAATTAATTAATGCTTTAACGCGGAAAAAAAAAATACCGTAATATACCGTGAAACCGCCAGAATCTTACAAAATACCGTGATATGCATTTTTGGTCATACCGCCCAGCCCTACGTTTGCCCCTCTATCCTTCAAGAAAATGTGTCAATAACAATTGACTGGAATGATCAACGGAGATGTGACACTTTCTGGTTAAATACTCCACATGAATGAGCAAGCCGACAGTGCTAAGCTACTGAGATATCTAAGATGGTATTTCCTTGTTGGTAATTCAACCAACCTTTGACACATGAGGGGTCTTGGTCTTCTTGGGGTCTGAGAAGGCAGAGAGGGGGATTGTGGGGAGCATCGGGTAGTCTGGACTGGGCCTCGACACGGCTTCAGCCCCCTCTGGAACCACCAATACCTGAAATTAAAAAGATGAGACAGTTACGGAGCTGTGTTTACTTTGGATAAAAGCCTGATTCTGTCTGCAGTCAGTTATTTTCCCCCAAAGACAAGGTTAGGTGACTCACAGCTAGAGAACGTCTACGACTTGAATCATCAATACAAAAACAACCGTTTTAGAACATATCAGTTTCTCTCGAACAAAAAAATCAAAAAGGTACATAAACATGGTTGGGCTGTCCTGGCTGACACGCCTCTTCAATGTCGCATGGGGGTCGGGATCAGTGCCCATGGACTGGCAGACCACCGGGGTGGTGGTTCCCATCTTCAAAAAGGGGGACCGGAGAGTGTGCTCAATTACCGGGGTATCACACTACTCAGCCTCCCGGGGAAGGCTTATGCCAGGGTGCTGGAAAGGAGGCTCCGACCGTTTGTTGAACCTCAGATTCAAGAGGAGCAATGCGGATTCCGTCCCGGCCGTGGAACAGTGGACCAGTTCTTTACCCTCGCAAGACTACTGGAGGGGTTCTGGGAGTTTGCCCAACCAGTCTACATGTGCTTTGTGGACTAGGAGAAGGCTTTCGACCGGGTCCCTCGGGGGTTCTTGTGGGGGGTGCTGCGGGAGTATGGGGTACCGGACCCGTTACAACGGGAAATCCGGTCTCTGTACGACTGCAGTAGGAGCTGTGTCCTTTTTCTCGGCAATAAGTCAGACACGTTCCTGGTGGGTGTTGGCCTCCGAAAGGGCTGCCCTTTGTCACCGGTTCTGTTCGAGACTTTCATGGACAGGATATCTAGGCGCAGCCTGGGGGCGCGAACATCAATTTCGGGGGTCTCAGGATCGCCTCTCTGCTGTTTGCAGATGATGTGGTCCTGTTAGCCTCCTCGGATCGTGACCTCCAGCATTCACTGGGGCGGTTTGCAGCCGAGTGTGAAGCGGCGGGGATGAGAGTTAGCACCTCCAAATCTGAGGCCATGGTGCTCTGCCGGAAACCGGTGGATTGCTCCCTCCAGGTGGGGACGGAGTGCCTACCTCAAGCGAAGGAGTTCAAGTATCTTGGGGTCTTGTTCACGAGTGAGGGTAAGATGGAGCGGGAGATCGACAGGCGGATCGGTGCAACTCAACTACGAAGGTTTGATACCGCTCTGACCTGGTTCTTCTTCATAGGAACAGGGGATGAGGCTTTTGGGTATTGCAGTATTTTAGCGAAACCCAATCTGTGTCTGTCTGAAGCGGGCTGGTCACTCCTGGCTGGAGTCTGAGCCGAAGGGGTTTCTGCTGACCCTGCATGATTTCATTTGATTTCACCAGAATTCGACCCAGTGGCACCGATGACGAGCATTAAAATGAACTACATAGAAATGGTCTCGCTGATAGTCTCGTTTACTTATGTCGGTCATATAGAGACATCAGTATAAAACCAAGTTAAGACTTTTTAATAGGTTTTTTGAGGAAACTGAAATGCTTTTAGACCTTTTAAGCGCTGCAGATACGTTGCATTGAGGATACAACACTTCCAGAACCAGCTCATAGCTCACAGCTTATGATATAATACATTATGTGGTAGTTACTAATTTAGTACTATTGACAACTACAGCATCTGCTATTGACTCTAGTCAATCATTTAGCCATCAGTGCAGTGAACCAGCCTGTGTGTCAGTCAGCCTCACCCCGCCAGCTTTGATCAGCTTTCTCCTGAATTCTTTGGTGGGGTTGTTAAAGGTGAGCTTCTCACAGCGCAGGTGGTTGACTGGTGGGTTGCCCTCCAAGTTGAGGAATAAGTCGTAGTTGAAACACACCTTTTTTGGCTCCTCCTGAAAGGAGGACAACAGGACAAAAAGCAAACCGTTTTAAACTTCCTCCAACAGCACATGGGACAAATAACTATTTGTCTTTCTGTATTACAGACATATCACAACAAAAGAAAAAATGTTGAATAAATGAACGATCACCCAGGAAGTCAATAACACAGATGGAGAAGACACACTGATAAGAATCAACATACATTCCTGAGAGAAGCTGAAGAAAAGTGGACGATTAAAGACGAGGAAAACGCACTAAGACACGCGTGACAGATTTTATAAACAAAAATGTCTTCTGGTATATGCAGAAGTGCTGATATTTACACTCTCTTTTGTTTGCCTTTAGGTATTTTCTTGATCTTCTTGACAGATGTATCTATAATGTATAAGTTGAAGAAGAGGATGATGTAACATTTTTGGGTGCAGTCCAGAGGTATAATATTACAAAGAGCTGCAGGAGACGATGGTACACTAATGTGAACATACCTCTTGAACATCATCCTCCTCTTATAAGGAGAGTAAAGCGGGTCTTTCTTTCTTTCATCATTCATTCTGATGGCTGACGGCGCCAGTATAATAGTGTGTGCTCATTTTATTTCTCTCACTTAAAGAGAGAAATCTCCCTCGCATAAATGTTTTACCAACACAATCGAGCTTTCTGATCGACTGAGTGCTTATTTAAGAACTCCTACTGGAGAGTGAGTCCAAAAGTGAAGCCATTCACAAAAAATGGTCAAACGAGAGTTTTAAACCATCATTCCACTAAAACAAGCTACAAGCACTCACAGTAATCTCACAGTGATTTTTTCAAACATGTAAAAAGGAACAACCAGTTTCTTTTATCAAGTTATGGAATTAACCCGGTTAACACGGCTACATTTCTGCTGGAAAAACCTGTTTCCCTCATAGAAACCCAGACTGGCCTCCTTCCGTCTGTAAATATTTCAGTGAAGTTTACAAGTACTAAATAACAAAACCCACAACATGGAAACATCAATTTACACAACTCAAACCTTAGTCAAGCCTAAATAATGTGTATTTCCTAAAAGCTATACTTTCCCCCACAGCCTAAATATCTTTTCTATAAATAAAGCAACGACGCAGTTTACCATCAGTGTCCGGCCGCTCTCACCTTGTTCTTGAAGTAAACCTCAATAGGCATGAGGAAGCCTGCGTAGCCCGACTCCTCCACTTTGTACGGAGGCTCCTTGCATACTGCAGACAGAAACATATCGCTGGCAGTAAGTACATTACTCACACTGCTCTTATCCATAGAAATGCATTATGTTACACATCTATTAACTAAGAGGAGAGTCTGAATGTTATACCAACATGAACTCAATGTGATGAACAGATTGAGCTACATTTGTCAGGAAACAATGAATTTGTCAAGTCCAAGAGGTCTTTTAAAAGACACTTGTGTCACACGATAATAAATCGTCTACGAGTTCAAACTTGGCAGACATTTACAAGACGGACAGTGATCGCACCAATTTATAAAAGACAGAAATGTCCAGAGACAAATTACAAATGGATTATTTCCACTAGTGCACTATTTGTGGAGGCCGTGTCCGTATTGGTTGCCCTCACTGTGACCTCTGTGAATGATCATATAAACAGAGTTCAATGTGAAGAGTAAGAACGTCACGGCACGGCACCTGCTAGAATGACCATTAACCTCCCTCCATGTTTTTATTCACCCCTCTCTTCTATTTATTTCTGTGTTCATCGTTTTAACTTAAATTAGTTCCTATAATCTGCTTTCTGAATGCCCCGTGCTGTATTTATTACTTACTGCCATTTAATGCAGCATCTAAAACACTCGATTACCTTTGTGTGTACGAGTAAACTCTGTGTAAATACTGTTATCCCTCTGTCTCACCTCTCTTGGGTTTGGGGAAGCTCTCGTGCAGGCGGAAGACAACCTTCTCTACAAAGTGCTGGATGTCGCCAGTCTCCGGCCCTCGGACAAACACCATCCAGTCGTGGGTGAAGCCTTCCGATGTCACCTTCTTCCTTAGCTGGGCTCTGTGGCCCAACTCCAGCTTCACCTGCACTGTGCACTGAAAAAAAAGACATACACAGACAAAAGAGTCAAATACCATGTATCACTGTACCAGGCCTGTGGACGTGCAAGAAAAATAGGTCAAATGTGAACTACAAGGGCAAAGTTATTCAAATCAAGAAACGGATACAAATGCATTTTGCAGTAAGAAGTTAAATAAACGTCTTGAGCTTGTTTTCTTCTTCTGGTTAAACTTTAAACTGCATGTGGACTCCTTACTTTATCATAACATAAATATTTACATGTAAATGTTATGCTTTTCTCTTCCGTCTATGCTGATAAAACTTGCATTAATATGACATATTATGATGTGTTCTAAGACTGGCTTTAGCTCAGTGGGTAGAACTCCTAAAAGAGGTCAAACGTCATCTATGTACCTGTATGTTTATGATGATTGAAATAAAGCTAAAGCATTTATATAGCAAATGAAATAATTCAGACTAAAAAGAGAGACAAAAGGACAAGTAGCCTGATTTTGAGTTGGTTTCCCCTCCATGTTTCATTATGATAAAACAATTAGAGTGGCAACTAACAAGTATTATAAGTCAAGTCAATGTTATTTGTAGAGCCCAAAATCACAAATCATGAGCAAAGCCGGTAGTGAGATTATACCACCGGGCCATCATTCATTGGTTTCTGATTCCACCTTGAACAACACCCTCTGGATCTCTATTTTGGAGTATGTGGACTTTTCACTCAAAAGGAGAGGCTGAACACTTGGTCTGGACAAACACAAAGCTGGACAAGTGTTGGGACGCCCCCCGTGGAATGGGACTGATTAGCTGCCCGAGCCGACAGATCTCTAAAGGTTTATCCAGAGGAGGGGCACATTTTTGGGCTACCTCTCTGCCCGAGAACAATGACAGCGACGGGACCAGTAAATGACACTGTGCTGGTGGGGATTGGCATAGCAAGAGAAGAGGCCATGGAGATGGGAGTGCAGAGGGGGACGAGAGGGGACAGAAAGCTACTTTATGTCCAGGGGAGGACTGAATAATGTGTGGATTTGGCCCCAGCACAGAGCAGCTCGTGAGCTGGGACTGAGTGGGGGGATTAGAGGTGACGGGATTGAGATGAGCTAGTCTGGCACTCCCTAGCTAACTCTCTCTCTCTCACTCTCTCACACACACACACACACACACACACACACACACACACACACACACAC